AGTTCTGAGAAAGGGTCACCGGACCCAAAACGTTAACTCTGTTTTCTCCTTCGCAGATGTTGCCAGACCTGCTGAGCTTTTCCAGCAACTTTGTTTTTGTTCCTGATTTACAGCATCCGCAGTTCTTTTGGTTTTTAGTCTAAAAATAAACTTGGTTAATTGCATATTGTTAATTTCTCAGCCCAACTTTTATTGGAAAGTAAGCAGAGAACATTAATGACTAAACTACTTGCTTTGCACATTCTTGTAACAGATCCGAGTACCCAAGGCAGACAACACTCCCACCCACTATGAACATATGCATGAAGATCTGTCATTTCTAAACTAGGGCGGGGAGCTGAAATTCTGCCCACTTTTGAATACAGAAGTACAGCCTTGTCTGATTATTGTGGCGGTACACCAACGTTAAAGAAATCTTGAACTCTACCTGTTTTACTAAAGGATTCCAGAATGCAAGATGCTGTAAAGGGAACAATATAAAAGAATGTAGCATGAGATAGAGAAAATTCTGTACCTCATGAAGGGTCAGATGCTTTCCATCCTTCCTTTTGGAATCAAACCGACCATATATCGCGCTATATTTCCGGATTTCTTCTTCTTTGTGAGGGTCACCATCAGCCATGTCAAAGATGTGACTAATCATTTTTGCTAACTTCTTATTAGTTTTTAAAAATTCTTTAACTTCATTTCTGTCTGTTTTTGGAATGCCTTGAATCAAACGATCAACAGATTCTGTAATTGCAATGACTGCAGCAGTATCAAGAGTTTCACCGTTTTCTTTTGGTGAAGATGGCGATGCAGGATCAGCAGGAGAAAGACTCTGTTCACTCTCGGTAGTGGAATGTCCTTGCCAGAATCGTGGTTCACTGCATACTTGCAGCGGTGAATTCACTGCTATGCCAGACTTGTTAGGTCCTACCCCCTGACCACACATCACAGACAAACATTTTGGAAACTTTACAGGAGCTTCCCGAAGGTTACTGGTTCTTTCATGACTGTTAACATTTGACCCAGGAAAAGCAGTTGAGCCCTCAGGTATTTTGTACAGTGGGATGCTGCTGACTGGAAGAGTGTTCAGGGGTTGATTGAAGATGGAAGGATTTGTCACCCAGTCTCTCAAAGCTTTTTGCAACCTCCTAACATGAAGGGGTTTGCTAGCCATGCCCACCAGGGCCATGATTTCCAGGAATTCCTCCTCCCCTGCCTCACAGAGCTGCTGCACATCATCTCCCCCTTGCTGAATGAACGCATCATAATAAGACAACAGATTTGCTCGCTGTAGAATACGATAAAGTTGCAATTCACCAAGGGTCCTTGGTAAAGAAGCTGCCATGTCAAAATGCAACACCTATATTTTAAAAGAAATAATAAATTAACTGAGGTTGAAAACCTTTTACGGAAAACATCAGACTTCAGTTGTTTACACAGTGAATTCTGAATACATTCATACCACACTCCACCTCTGCTATCTGTAGGTGGCATGATACAGGCTCCTCTTGTTTGCAGAATAGATGTTCTCCAACATTTAAAGCCTGATAACATGCCACAGTATTATACTATATTCTGATATGAATGCATCATGAGATTATCAAGTGCTAACTAAAATACACATTATTAAAATTTACTGTTACTTTTTACTTAAAGCTAATCCACACATTATATTGAGATGCAAATGTTGTTACTTTTTCAATATAAAGACATAACTAAAGTATTTCTATTATATTGGAATGAAAAATAAAAATAAAGAAATGATAAGATTCCATTAAAGTGCAAACAATGAGTGGTCCCTGAAGAAAATAACTATTATATTTTGTATTATTCTCATTATAACAATATTGGTGTTGACAACGTTGAGATCTTGTAGTTAGCAATACTCCAGCCAAAGTTCTGAACTGGCTACAGCAACTCTAAAGTGGGATGTTAAACAAACCAAACTTAATATGTGCACACATTAAGGGAATTCAAGCAGTAATAAAATGTGCATTTTTTTAAAAATCCATAAGGCTTATAATAAAGCAAGTTATTGAGGCATTAATATTTTTCATTAATTTTCTTCTGTCACAAAAAAAAGTTGAATTGAACAGTCAACTCCCTCAAACACATTACAAGGGAGGATAAATTGACCATCAGCCCCTCAAGTCTGTTCTGAACATCACCAGGCAACAGTGGAAATGGGTAGCAAAACTTATATGTTAACTTATCCATAAAACTGTGGGAAGAGATACAATTACACTTTTACTTAAAGAACTATAGAGAATATTGTATCTATTTATAAAATTCCTTCTTGTACGTGAGAAACAACAAGACATAGATCGACAAGTCATCTCAGGCTTCTTCTAGCAGGATTACAAACTCTTTATTATTCTACACTCTGATCTCATCAGGTTAAAACTGATTGGTCTAATGCAGTGGACATGTTCACCTAAGTAACTACATTAAGCAACTTCAGGGGTATGCATAAACATTCAATATGATGTGCCAGACAACTGGAGCTCACATGAATAATGTTGTATCCAATAAACCATTGTAGCTGAAGTGATAAATTGGAGCATTTTGAGAATATATCCATATTCTAGTTGAGGTTCAGACAGGAAAAAAACCAAAATATATTCAATAAAAGCGGTTAGTACCCTTAAAAACAAAACTGAACTGTACAGTGGAAAAAGTTGGAAGACAAAGTATAAACTTCTCGTTCAAAGTTTGATATAAAATACAGTTAATAATAGCAGTCCATTGCATAATTCTAAGACACTAAACTGGTAAAGTTTTTGTTGTCAATAATTATTGCAGAATACGTCAGCATACAATAGCCACTGTGGCCAGAAGCTCTGAGTTTGAATCCCAATCCAAGGAAGCACATTTATAACAGCCAAACTGTTAATTATCAACCTCCAAATCTTTCCATTACATACCAGTGGCGGGTGGTAAGAGTGGGAAATATTCCGGGTCAACCACGTGATAGAATGTCACTACCATCAGCTCAAAACTATAACATGCACATAACAGTGCACATTGCCAGAGCAACTCAGGCTCCCTGGGTGCACATCTGCAGTTAATTGGTCCTAAGTTTCCTATTTTATACAGATCCTGAGTTTTATTCAGTCAAAAGGATCACCAGGATCCAACCGACAGATTGTAGATATCAAACCAGTAAAGTTTCAGCAACTTACAACATTTTTCAAATCTTTGAACAGGTAACAAACTCATACATGCTCTTGGACAACTAATACAGCAAAGTGTTTGAACATCTCCTTAGCAGCATTGAGCAGCCAACGAAACTGGACATAGCATCCACCTTATCCTGCATATGTAATTCACTTCCTTGCTCTAATAATAAATAAAATGGAACAGATTTCTGATGTCAAATTCCAAATTAATGCCAAGTGTCACTCCTATCCACTACCGAACACATGTCAGCATATTACCATAATTTCATTCCATCACTTGTTCTTTTCTGGTGTTGCAACTTTCACTTTATAGTGTATTGACTGATGTCACCTCTTCTTTGATACTGGTGAAAAAGCTTCAACCCACCAGTGGTCACATTTTAACAATGAAGTAAGTCGTTTAGGACTAAGATGAGGAGAAATTTCTTAACCCAGAGAGTGGTGAGCCTGTGGAATTCTTTACCACAGGAAGCAGTTGAGGCCAAACCATTGATTGCTTTCAAGGAGTCAGACAGAGTCCTTAGGGAGAAAAGAATCAACAGTATGGGGAGACAGTAGGAACAGGGTACTGATTTGGATAATCAGCTATGATTATACTGAATAGCAGGACAGGCTTGAAGGGCTAAATGGCCTACTCCTGCTTCTATTTTCTATGTTTCTAAGACTCAAGACAAAGTGCAGCCTTGAGGAAACATGGTTTTAAAGGATGGAGATAATGAAATACTTTGTGAAGACAATAGGCTTGATTTTACTTAAAGTTAAAAATGAACCAGTGCAAGTTCCCTCTGCTTGAAGAATCAATACCCAGTTATGCATAAATACTAACTGCAATTAGCATCACCATTATTTTGATTGCAAAATCTGCCCCAGGCTATTAAAAATCTATTCAGCCTTCCATACTTAGCCCTTATTTTTATATAATAAATTTGACATTATACTGATAGCATTGTCAAATAATTTCAGTTAGTTTCGCATAATTAAATGCATTGGCAATTGGTGTTTAAATCTCATTAATTATGTAAATAATGGAAATAATTTTGGGTTTTGAAAAAAAAGAAGATTTAATTGCCAAAACTTTGCTTTCCAGCATCAACTAAGCATGTTCTTGCTTTTTCAAATATAAAATGTTTTACTTTAGCTGAAGATGAATCTTTTGGTGCATGACCTTGTTTCATAGCTGTTTGACCATTTATGGTGGGATTTGTAGGAATGGATGATAAGGAAACAAAAATAAAGGAGCCTGAAAGGCAGACAGCAATAGAGCTTGCTATTTCACAACTTTTTTAAAAAAAGATCCTTTGCTAATTACCCTTAGGAGGTGGTGGCAAGGCACTTATTTAACAACATACTGGCTTGTGAGGTCACTTCAGACAGCAGTTAAGAATCAACCATACTTACTGTGCTGAGAGTGGTGGGAAGGATAAGGAGGTGGGTGCTTAGCCAAAGATGCCAAATTGGATGGGTTAACATAAATAAACTATGAATTGCATGGATTTGCCATGAAGTGAATAAGAACATGCAGCTATCTTTAAAAGAAAAGCTAAAAACAAAGTAGAAAATAGTGCTATCAAACATGTAAAAATGTAATTATGATTAATGTAGACCAATATACAACAGAAAGCACCCAAAAGGAAAATAAATGTAAGTTTAATTTAAAAATTATGGAACAAACCAATAAAAGTGAAGCATTTCTGAATGGGAAGTTTATGTTTAAAATCTTTTTGACAGTTCATAGGAGAGAAGTACAATTACTTGGATTGAAGTCAAACTAAATTCCACTAACTTCCATGATGAACAATTCAATTTATAAATTATTCTGCATAACTCCATGTGATGACAGCAGTGACAAAAAAACTGCTCTGATTGTTTTGAACTGTGAACAAAATAATTTATAGACAGGGACAATTCCAGCTCAGGAATTTTTCTTAAGCACAGCTCAAGGCACTGGAAAACATTAAACTGAGGTGCTACCACACAATCATTGCAGAAATAATATATTTGATTATAAAAAGTTAAATCCAGATGAGCACAATTGTGCAAAAATGGTGACAAGTAGGTTTTCTGAATAGGAAGATTATGCAGACCATTTGTAATATTTAAAATCTTAAATATTGTTCGACACAACTCATGTTGTTACAAAAGCATTTGCTTTTTTGGCATTATATACATTCTTTAAAATTATTTTAAAGCTTATTTCAATGAAAACGTGAGGCATTTAGTGTCCAAAAGCAGGACCTAGCCTAAACAAAAAAACTGAAAGAAATGCAGGTGCTGGAAATCAGAACCAAAAACAGAAATTCCTGGAAAAACTCAGCAGGTCTGGCAGCATCTGTGGAGAGAATGTAGAGTTAATGATTTGGGTCCAGTGACCTTTCTTCAGAATAGAGTTTGTTCCACAGAGAACTTATCTTTCTCTCCACAGGACTTATTCTAACTTTGTTGGAATTAAAATTTAAAAATATTAGCTGTGAGATTCATTTATGACAGAGATGAACAGCATGTACAATGCTCAATATTAAGCTGTATCTTGAGAACACTGCAATATTGAACTGTTAATTTTCCCTATTTTCTGGTCATAAACTGGAAATTCAATAGGCTCAGCCAAAAAAAAGCAGCAAAATGCAGATTAGCTGATACATTACTAATGTTTTGCTATTATAAAAATGTGGATTCAAATGTATCACCTTTTATTTAAACATGAATAATAAAGTAAAGTTGATGCACTTATTTCATTTTGTACAAACTGCTCAGGAGTCATGAGGCATATATTTGGGCCCACTTTTACATGACCAGATAATAATGACAACTTTACTGCTTACTGCTATACCTGTACCAGAATTTTGATCAAATATCAGTCAGCTAGTCATTTAGATATTTTTGTGAGCCAATTTGCATCTCCTCTCTCTCCTGAAAACATGACAGCTCACTTCAAGCCTGTCCTCACCCAACATCCAGTCACCCACATTTCAGCTGGGCTAACTGGATAAAAAGGAGTGGAAATGTGTTGATTTCACCTCTCTTGCTCAGGGGCACCAAAGGCTGAAAAATACTCCCACTACCTCCCGTTCCCAGCTGACATCAGCAATTTCAGCACCAACGTTTAAACCGAGATCCTCTTGGACTGCGTGGTGCACTTCCATATTCTACCATCAGGTAACATTACAGGCATATCTAACTGACTTGGGCTTCTGTATTCAACTGGAGCTGTCCACTCCTTTCCCACTTCCCAGAGAGGGAGAGAAAGAGAGAGAGAGAGAGACACTTTCACCCAAGTATGGTTGCCATTCTTTACGCTTAGCAGGTACATGTAAATTGTGCAAGCTGACTTCTTCTGCCACTTTAGTTGAAGCGCCAACCTCATTACGGCAACTCTGCTACAATATTTGCAATACAGTTAAAGGTTGGTGGGAATTAGTTGGCGAATGGGATACAAGTTAACCAACGACCGATTTCAGGTTACTGAACAATTGACGAGTGAATCAAGCTTCTTCCGCAAAAAAAACTTGACACGAAGTGCCCGCCCACACACAAGCAGTGGTCACTGTACATCTTTTAGTCGCAAGCTGGGACCTGTCTCACAAAAATAACCAGGCAATGCCTTCGTTCACCGTTTCGGGCATCAGCCTTTCTCTTATTTTCTGAAGTCGAATTATTTTCTAACCCATTTCGAATGAACAAGATGAAATTGAAAGGGGCATTCCAGGCAGATTTCTTGAAACTTCCTCTTGTCAAACCTTCAACCTAGCATTCCTCACATCATCGAGAGGTGGGATTTGGAACATCAAGTAACTCTTCTGGTTTTGTGAAGAGTTATTCAAGAAATCTAACTAGAGAGAGAAATGCGTTTGACATATGTGGTTTTACAATAGCAAAGCAACTACTTTTAAACAAGTAGTGCGTACCATAGAACACATATATCCGCAAGACAAAATGTTAATTCGCACTCATATAGTATTTGGTAAATAAAATGTTTCAATTAAACTAAATCCAGGCGATTCTTCCACCAAATTTTTTTTCTGTCTCTCCATCGCACTATTGCAGCTTTCACGCCTACTTAAATCCATAGTATTGGAGCTCTTTGGGAATCACCCACACAAATACGAAATCCACCCTCTCCTTCCGGCATAAAGGACCGCACAAACCGGGATTTGAAAAAAAAGTAAATCTTTTAAATACTCCCACCTCCCCTCCAGCGAAATGTGAGAGAGAGAAAGAAAAAAAAACACACATCACCCAAACTGTCGGCGTACGTTAACAGTATCTTCCGTAATATAGTCCAAGTGACAGAAAGAGCCCCATGTGCAGTGAGTTTGCTGCAGAAATGACGGCGGTACATACCTGGTGCAGTGTACGCTGCCGGCCTTCCTGAGCTTGTCTTCCGTCTCTGTGTTTCTGTGTGTGTGTGTGTTATCTGGAACCCAGTGAGAACTTTCTCTGTGTGTCTGTCCCAGTCAGGACAGTTCAGTCAGGAGAGGGACTGCCTCACTCTGACCGCGCCAATCTTCCCGGGGTGGGTGGGGGGAACTGTGTGTGTGTGTGTGTGTGTGTGAGAGAGAGAGAGAGGAGGGAGGGAGGCGGAGGAGACAACTCCTGGCCCGGACTCTTACAGGCGCATGTGAACAGCAGCCCGCCTCCCCCGCCTTGCCAGCAACAGCCCAGATGCACAACTTGAGTCCGGAGGCTCTCGGAGCTGTGTGTTTGGATATCTTTGCCCCCCCCCCTCGCTGTTTCTTTTTTTTGTCGCTCTCAACTTTGCAGCGGTGTGCGTCTGTGTGTGAGTGAGTGTGTGTGTGTGTGTGTGAGTGTATGTGTGTCAACCTCCTCCCCCTCCGGCTTCTATGGGATATTCCGGTCTTGCTCATACTCACTCCCACACGGCCAGCGTGACGCAGATCCTGGCGTGGGAGGACGCGGGCCGTGGGAGGCTGGTGGAAGGAATACCAAACATAACTAGTGGAGCGACAAAATGCAGTGAAGTCAGCTCCTTACCAGCTGAGCATTAGCTGCAGGGTCTGCTTATCACTTCTATTTATAAGCCTCCTTTTCCGTGAAAGTCATTTATATATATACACACACACACACTTCGTCGAACCGTGTTTTTCTCACGATCGATCTGTTATCAATGTACATGTGGTAATACCTCGCACGCGGAGCAATAACTAATCTCGAAATTTTTTCTTTGGGAGGGGAGGCGAGGTCCCCTAGTGATCGACTGACATGAAATGTACGGTTCTGCAGTTGTGTATGCCTTCATTCTATATTTCCTTCTGCAGAGGCGACTTTGAAACAGATGTCGATGTAGCATGCCACGTTTGTATTGGTAAACACCCAGAGGAATCACACAGCTGCAGACCATGGGACCCTTCGAAATGCAGTATATCCGGAGTTAAACTCGCCTTGTATTGACAATGCCACAATCTTGAGTTTCGAGCAAGTTTTCATAAATGCTTCATGGGAATTCTGCAAAGGATTCATCTCCAGTTTACTTTGGTACAACACTAGAAGATAAGACTGGCAGTGTCCAAGTGAATGTTGTCACACAGTCCAAAAGCCATTGAACGCATTTCTGTTATTCTAACTTCAGTCTTAACCTGGTATAATGTGACTTACGGCTTGTCAGTCTCATGCAAATAACCATCAGCACCTAACTCTTTTATTGTATTACCTACTCTTTTATTGTATTACCTTCTCTTTTTTGCTATTTATTATAGAACAGGTGAAGAACGTATCAGAGAAAGTAATGCTACAAAAAAAACCCTTATTCAGTTTCATAGCACTGAAGAAAACCACCTCCTCTGTACAGGACTGTACAGACTTCTTAAAGTTGTTATTTTAACATAAAGAGTTGAAGCTAACTTGGCAAACTCTGCAGCTGAAAACAGTGAGCCGTAAACTACTGCCAGCACTAACATTTATTGAATATCTTGGTAAATACTTTTGAGCACTGTTTTAGATCTACTTGTGACATTAATGAGCAGTGAATTTGAGTTGAGTTTGGATTTTAAAAACTACATTTGTGATATTTTAGATTTGATTATGAAATGGTGGTCCCTCTCACAATGTAAATTCGTGCACCACAAAGCTGTGTTTCTATTATTCTAAATCTCTGGTTGGCAATAATATTGAATGGCATTGTGGACAGTGTAGATGATAGTTTATCAATATCCCGTTATAATTTATGATGTGAATGGGCAAAACTGTGGCAGATGGAGTTCGTTGTAAGTAGGTGCAAGATTATCCATTTTGGCCTGAAAAAGGATAGATCAGGGTACTTTCTAGATGGTATGAAGTTAAATACAGTGGATGTCCAAAGAGACTTAAGGATTCAGGCGCATAGATCTTGAAAATTTCAGAAACAAGTGCAGAAAATAATCAAGAAAGCTAATGGAATACTGGCCTTTATATCGAGAGAACGGCAGTACAAGGACGCAGAAATTATGCTGCAGTTATATAAAACACTGTTTGACCCCATTTGAAGTACTGTGAGCAGACCTGGGTGCTAGAACTTAGGAAAAATATATTTGCCTTGGAGGGAGTACAGTGTAGGTTTACAAGAATGATACCTGGACTCCAGGAGTTATGAGGAAAGATTATACATGTGTAAGGAATAAGTTAGGTGCTGGAGGCACTAGGAATCATGGGTAAGTAGTAAAATTGGCAGATTTCACTAGTGGTGTACCTCAGTGATCTGTCCTGTGGCCTTTTCACTATGTACTCTAGCAGAGACCGGCAAAATATTTGCAGTCAAAATATGATCCTTTTAGCAACAGTAGGTCTTTGAATACAGAATTTTTAGTTATAATAAAATCCTACCATTCACATCTTCACCATTCATGAATTCACTTATATATGCAGGTCCGATGTTCATTTCTCTGCAGTTTTCAGAAAAAAAGAAAACTTGGAAAATATAACAAAAAATAAAAAATTCCTAAATGACTACAACAAAACTAAGATACAGAAGATGTCCATGACACATTGCAGTGTACTTCCTGCACTAGAAAGTGCACACTGCGCATGCATCTTCTTCTATGTTGTTTCCTGGAGTGTTTGTAGATGGCTGTTCATTGTTGTTAATGATCATTGCATTCTGTTGGAGAATCTTGTAATAAAGATTAGTGTGATAAGTTTTATACATTTCCTATTTTATTGACTATCTTCTCCAGTTGGACATGTTAAATGTTTTAAATGTTATTTTGTATTCCAATGAACAAATGAAAACAAAATTAAAAACACAATAATTAGAAGTATGAGCAGGCCCCTTGACCTTGCTCCACAATTCAATCTGATTGTGACGTGAACTCCACTATCCAATCTGTTGCCCATAATCCTTAACTCACTCATTCATCAAATCTATCTAACTCAAAATTGAATATATTCAATGACCCAATCTTCATCGCTTTATGGGGAAGATAATTTCCCAGACTAAGCACCCTCAGAGAGAAAAAACCTTCTCAGCCTCAAATGGATGAACCCATACAGTTTGCTAGTTCTAGACTTCCCTTTAAAGGGAAACAGCCTATCTGCATTGACCTTGTCAAATTCCTTCTGGATTTTATACATTTCAGTAAGTGCACCTCTCATTCTTCTAAACTTCAGTGAGTATAGGCCCAACCCACTGAACTTATCATTAGATAAATACTTCATTCCAGGAATCAGTTGAATGAACGTCCTCTAAACAACATAATTTCTTAAGTAAGGTAATCAAAACTCTATACAGAACTCTAGATCTTGTCTAAGTAAGACTCTACACACCTGCAGCAACACTTCCTTATTTCTACACTTGATTCCTCTTTCAATAGATGCTAACAGTGCGTTTTCCTTCTTAGTCATTCTAGAACCTGGACACAAGTGTTAATGTACCAGATCATTATGCACCATTGAATTCTGCAGTTCCTCTTCACTCAAAGAATATACTGCTATTCATGCCAAAGTGAGAAAGCTCACATTTTCCCACAATATACTCAATCTGCTAATTTTTTTTTGTCCACTCACTTTCTTTAGCCACAGTGAGTTGGTAAGTTGGATAAAAAATTGGCTTGGTCACAGAAGAAAGAAGGAAGTCGTGGAGGTGTTATATTCTGATTGGAGGTCTGTGACCAGTGGTGTTCTGCAAGGGTCATTGCTGGGACCTCAGTTGTTTGTAATACCTAAATGATTTGGATGAAAATATAGGTGGTCTGATTAGTGAGTTTACAGATGACACAAAAACTGGTGGAGTCATAGATAGTGAGGACAGTTGTCAAAGGATAAGCAAGAGATAGATCAGTTGGGCAGAAAAGTGGCAGATGGAGTTTAATCCAGAAAAGTGTGAGGTGATGCATTTTGGAGGGTCAAATGCAAGAGGAAAGTATACAGTGAATGGCAGGAGCCTTAGGAACATTGATGTACAGAGGCATCTTGGGGTGCAAATCCATAGCTCCCTGAAAATGGCAACAGAAATGGATCAGGTAGTAAAGAAGGCATATAGTATGTTTGCTTTCATTAGTTGGGGCATTGAGTATAAAAGTTGGCAGTCATGTTCAGCTGTATAAAACTTTAATTAGGCCACACTTGGAGTACTGTTTGCAGTTCTGGTTGCCACATGATAGGAAGGACATGGAATCTTGGAGAAGGTGCACTAGAGGTTTGCCAGGATGTTGCCAGGATTGGAATATATTAGCTTTAAGGAGAGGTTGGATAAATTTGGATTGTTTTCACGACAGCATCAGTGGCTGAGGGGTGACCTAATAGAAGCATATAAAATTATGTGAGGAATGTAGGATGGATAGTCAGAATCTTTTTCCAAGGGTGAAAATGTCAAATACTAGGGGGCATAGGTTTAAGGTGAGGGGATAGTATTTAAAGGAGATTTGTAAGGCAAGATTTTTACACATTGGTAGCTTCCAAGGGAGGTGACATAAGCGGGTATGACAGCAGTGTTTAAGAGGCATTGACACATAAATAGGCAGGGAGTAGACATGGTGGATTGAAGTGTATGTTCTTGTATTGTACTGCTCAATGTTCTGTCTACATCCGTTTTTAGATTTTTAAATACTCTCTTGACAACTTACTTTCCTACCTATCTTTGTGTCGTCAACAAATTTAGCTGTCATTCAATTGGTCCTTCTTTTCAAATCCTTGATATACATTTAAGTACTTGAGGCTATTAAACATTGTTTACTTGAAATTTAGTTGAGCCTTTGATAAGGTTCTGCATGGTAAACTAATCATTAAAGTTAGATCATCTGGGATTCAGGTTGAGCTTGCCAATTGGATACAATGGCTTAATGGCAGGAGACAGAGAGTGGTTTGTTTTTCAGACTGGAGGCCTGTTACCAGCAGTGTTTCACAGAGATTGGTGTTGGGTCCACTTTTGTTTATCATTTATATAAATGATTTCAATGAGGATTCAGAAGGCATGGTTACTAAGTTTTGCGGATGATACCAAAATTGATGGTTTAGTGGACAGTGGAGAAGGTTATCTAAGATTACAAAGAGATCTTGAACAATTGGATCAATAGACTGAGAAGTGGCAGATGGAGTTTAATTTGGATAAATTAACTAATAAAATTAAAAGTAGGGCCTTGGGTACTGTTGTAGAATAGAGAGACCTATTCTTTGAA